TTTACAGTTGATTTGTATCACTAAACTCTTAGATCAACTTCACATTTATAGCTATAACAAATACTGCAAAACGTCTAGACTACTGAGTTTGATTCTCTCGCAGTGGTAAGAAAGGGGGGCGCTGGAACACCTTACAGTAGAGATGCTAAAAGTCATTTAACAAATTCTGTATATGATAGAAGCTATGTATTCGGTTGTTATTATTGTGTTTTAACGTGTTAATAAAACCAGCAGGTGCACTCATCACATCTATTGTACTTCAGGCCTCAGTTCCCGTGCTTTCTGCCACGTAGATCGTTTTTGCTCATGATATTAGTGGGTCAAACAGAATAAGGATTGTATGATGTCAGAAAATAACAGCTGAGAAAAAGGTTTTAAAGTTGAAGACTGATGTTATTAATAGTGACTGTGTTCGAAGTAAAAAGCGCCATTGCACCTGCTTATCTAAGGGAATCTATGGTAACGGTCAACATATAATGTTAGTCAAATAGGAGCTGTAAGGAAGTGCTTCTATGATGTTCAGAAAACTGACACTTTAATGTCGTGTTCGGTTCGTTCTGTTTAGTGTAAGTTTTGCATTTCACCTTTTGTTGCGTTATGAGCGTGCGGGTGAGTAAATATTGAGATATCTGGAACTATAGTTGGTCTTCCTGGTGAAAATACCCTTACAACAAGGTGTCGTCAAGTATCCTAAAACTGTGTTCATTAGCCTACTAATAGTTTTCCATACTGTTGGATAGTTGCTTTCAATAAATGAGATGATTAGTCACATATCACAGTTTCTATATCTAGCATCCACATGTAATCATGCGAGGAAATGACAGAACTGAAATACTTAGCAAGTCACTAGATATGCACAGAAAGCAGGTACTGTATTTCGTTTTACTGACATGCACATAAAGCAGGTACTGTATTTCGTTTTACTGACATGTACATAAAGCAAGTACTGTATTTCGTTTTACTGACATGTACATAAAGCGAGTACCTGCTTTATGTACATGTCAGTAAAACGAAATACAGTACCTGCTTTATGTGCGTGTCAGTAGGACGAAATACAGTACCTGCTTTATGTACATGTCAGTAAAACGAAATACAGTACCTGCTTTATGTGCATGTCAGTAAAACGAATACAGTACCTGCTTTATGTACATGTCAGTAAAACGAATACAGTACTTTATTTCGTTTTACTGACACACATTAAACAGGCACTGTGCTTCGTCCTACTGACACGCATTATACAAGCACTGTGCTTCGTTTCTTTCACACACTTTAAACAGACACTGTATTATGTTTTACTGACATACACATTAAACAGGCACTGTATTTTTTTCGCTGAAACACACAAGGAACATTTTAATGTATTCTTTTTTTTTAACTGAAATGCTCAACGATTATAAACATATAATAAGCACCTTTTATTGACCGACATACATAGGATCATCTCAAAAACAGGCAGTTTTTATTCAGGAAAATGCACAGATAAAAACTCACAAAACAGGATTATTTATTTACAATGATGCACAAGGGTCATATTCACAAAATGGTAGATTTCGTTTTATAAACACGGGCTGGAAAAACATGTTTCTCTCTCAGGTTTTTTCCTTCTAAGATGCACGAAACAATATGACACCACAAACAATGTTTAGAAAAGGTGTAGTTCTTTCATTAATTAGATGCACAAAAGTCATAGACAAAAAAAAAGAGGTTTCATTTAGTAAGACGCGCAATTTTTTTAGGCAAAAAATAAAAGTTTTTATGTACAAGGTTTTGTGAAGATCATACACATACACAATCTCTATTTATCAAAATATATAAATGCCATTCCATTAGTCACCCGGTGGGTCAGCGATAAGTTTATGGACTTACGATGCTAAATTCCGGGGTTCGATTCCCGCAGTGGACATAGCTAGTTGTGGAACTTTGCACTAAAAAGAAAAAAAACAAAAAACAAATTTGAACAAAAACGTTTCGTACTCATAAAGCGGGCTATTTTTACTTCAATTTCTGATCTTGGTCTCCTTTTTCAGGCCATCGCAATAATCTGATTAACCGTCTAACATAAACTTCATTCTTTCGTTTCTGGGCCCCGGCATGGCCAGGTGGTTAGGGTGCTCGACTCGCGGGTTCGAATCTCCGTCACACGAAACATGCTCGCCCTTTCAGCCGTGGAGCTTTATAATGGGACGGTCAATCCCACTATTCGTTGGTAAAAGAGTAGCCCAAGAGTTGGCGGTGAGTGGTGATGACTAGCTACCTTCCCTCTAAGCTTACACTGCTAAATTAGGGACGGCTAGCGCAGATAGCCCTCGTGTAGCTTTGCGCGAAATTCAAAACAAACAAATATGACCTGATGGTTAGGGCACTCGACTCGTAATCTGTGAGTCGTGAGATCAAAACCCGTCGCTGAACATGCTCGCCCTTTCACTATTCGCTTAGAGTAGCCAAAGTGTTGGCAGTGGGTGGTGTTGACTAGCTGCTTTCCCTCTTGTTTATCACTTCAAAATTAGAGACGGCTAGTATACCTAGCCCTCGAGCAGCTTTGCCCAAAAATTCAACAAACAGACAACAACATTTTTCTTAGATTTCTCAAATCTTTGTCACATTCAAAGAAAAAAGATCACGGGATATACTGAGATGGAAATCATTGTATAATGTTTCTCCAACTATGATCAGACAAGGACTCCACCGTTAACTAATAACAAAATAACAGTACTCTTCACAAAAAGTCGCTAGAGAGAAACGTGAGTCGATATCTGAATTCATTATATAGCGTTTTTCTAATTATCCAACTACTATCAGACAAAGACTCCATTGTTAGCCGATAAAAGTACTCTTTACATAAATTCGCTAGAGAAATGTGAATTGATATCTCAAACAAATAGTTTGCATAAGTTTAAAATAATAATGCCCAGCTGTAACACAGAATAAATAAAAACTAATTTATCATTGGAAAATAGTAAGAGTTCTATCAGTAAAATAAAAGTAACATTTATCGTTTAAATGCTCTGAAATATAGTTCTGAAACTTATAAACTCCTTATAGAACAAAGTTGTGAAAGTTGCAAAGGCAATGCCATAAAAGGGGCAGATATAAACTAATTACGAATAATTATTTTTTTTTTAGTTTTGGGTTTAAAAATGTATTCAGGTGTCTTTAAAAATACATTTTTCTTTGTTTGTTTGATATTAAGCGCAAAGCTATACAATGGGTTATGAGAACTGTGTCCACCACGGGTGTCGAAACCCGGTTTCCCACGTTTCCCGCAGACAAAATTAGATAATTACAATAAATGAGTCACAAACTTACGTAATTGTTTCCTTACCAGTCAATAAGTGATTGTGCAAT